TAATAGATTGCAAACTGAAAATAAATTATATGCAAACATAAATGAATATAACAATAAAAACTGTCCAAAATAAAAATGAATTTACAGATCAGTCATAATAGTTCACTGTGTCAAAACCAAGAAACTTATATTCATATAATTAGAATTCTCAAAGTAGAAAGAAGTAGGCAATAAATATTTCAAGATTTAAAATTTCTGAACTTTCTCATGTATTGTGCTTGTTTTCTAAATGTCTCCTCTCCCCGTGTACTAAAGAGAAACCGAGAAAGACCTGCAGAAAGTCCGCTCCACCCTAACAAGGACTGCTAGCAGGCGCTCGGTTGATAACAATGAGCAAGGGAGAAACATTGCCAGCAATATGCTCGTGGTCATAGCCCTGGCATTTCAGACAAACGCCCCTAGAACAGGAGCACAGGCTGGGACACTGAAATGATAGCACTGCATAGCCCGTGCCACGCGGAGGTGACACAGACATCTCTGCCCCCCCCCACACACCATGAGCTCCAGCAGGGTCTGCAGGTCACACTGCATTCAGAGTGCCTGGCTGGGGATATTTTATGAACCTTTTCACGTGGTACGTGGTGCTGCTGCCCACCTTTTTGGCTGTCTCTCCCTTGAGCTGCACCGTGTTGTCTCAATGAAAACATTATGTAAGATATTGCGCAGGGAAGCCTTGCCTGCAAGCTTGCCTGGTGCAGCTGGCCTGATGAGGCCCATCAGGGGGCAGCTCTTGTGGCTGGCTTATTTCAGAGACCCGGGCAGGCTGGACGTCCAGCTCCTCTGTGCCTCGGGGGTCAGGTGGCGGTGCTGAATGGGTGTGTTACACTCCTGCCGCAGCCTCGCCTTCTCTCCCCCGGTTGTGCTCATGACCCACAGTCCTCTTTTCTTTTTCCTTCCCAAGTGCTGACTTATTTTGGCATCAACAGGAGGAACAGTTGGTCCTGCCTGTACATTCTGCAGACAGATCTGGGAGGCAGGCATCATAGAACCACTCTGCTTGTAGCCGATGTGGGATGGAACCAAATCCCAAGGCAAAATCCACATAAACTTGGTGCCAAAGCGAAGCCCAGCAGGGCGATGGCCAGCAGCATGGCACAGAGGTTGGGGTAAAATGACCACAGGAAGGCCCACCAGGAAGAGGCACCCAGGGTGGACACAGAGCAGCAGTATCCACTCGGTCCCCTTACTAGACAGAGACTGTGGGCTGGAGATGGCTGAAGGGGGCTCAAGATGTCTGATGTTGACATTTCTAAGTGACACCCAAAAAGCCAAAGAATGCTCATCTGGAACACTGGGCTGGGCTTGGGGATAGGAAAGTATCTCTGTCCTCCATGCAGGGACAGGATGAGGACCAGGGTCAGTGCTGGCAGGGAGGCTGAAGACTCAGGTGGATAGGAGTCGTCAAGGCCCACGTTCCAAGGTGCTGGGCACTGCAGAAGGACCAGGATGCTTCTGGGCATCCTGCAGGCATGCATAGAGGCTGAAAAGTGGGGTGTGAAGGTTGGAGCAGAGCAGGGTGGAACTCTGCAGGCAGTGAGGAGGAACCAGGCTTCCATGGAAGTGGTGGCCACACTAGCGGGCCATTTCAGGGAACGCATGGACATTTTCCTGGCCAAGCCCTAGGACCTGCTGGAGACTATACAGAGGATCAGATCTTCATTTGAGTTTGAAGCGAGCACCATGGCTGAGCTGCAGGCAGCAGCCGGCTAGCGAGAACAGACATGCAGTGAGCAGCATGGCTCGCAGGGGCAATGGCAGCTGTCATTTTCTGTCCCCTCCTCCATGGTTCTGTCACCAACTGTGAGAACCTCTTCTCCAGGGCCTGTGGGGTGGCTGCTTACTCCCTCATTATGGGGCAGTGTTGATTTGCCACTACAGAGATGTCCACGCCCCACAGAATGTGGGTTTATATACTGAAGGTATCCATGGTAGGGATGTGGGGAGGGTGGGTTCAGGAGAGGGAAAAGAAAGTGGTGGAGAATAGAGAAGTCTTGTGTGCAATGTGTCAGGTGGACAGGGGAGGGACCTTCCGACCTGAGGTGAGGAAGCTGAGAAGTGAGAGCCTAAGCCCAAGCGCCAGGTCCTCCAAGGGCCCAGAATTCATGCTGGCAGGGGATGGACAACTCTCTCAGGGACTGAGAAGAGAGAGACAAGTGGGGTGAATGAGGTCCACAGAGCGAAAGTGCATGTTGGGGAGCGGGAGCTCAGGGGACCCTTTTCTGCTCCCATTTGGGCATTCAGGCTAGGGGAGTGAGCACACGCACAATGGGCTTTGCCCTCTGTGTGTGGACTCCGGGCCCTAGGGTGGCGGCAAGGGTGGCTGGGGGTATCACAGGCAGGCTGCACTGGACGTGGAGGTGGACCTTGGGCCAGGATGGTGGCCAGGAAGCACAAGTGTGTGCAGCGAAGGTGGAGCCAGGGGTGGACATGCACAGGGCCTGGTGCGGGAGCTGTGCTCGCCAGAGTCTGCCCTGGTAGAGCCATAGTGTTCCTGTGACGAGGGCCTCTAGGCACTGCTCCACTGGGAGGAGGACAAATGTCCACAAGCACCCAAGCGTCCCCCAGGACAAGGCCACGTCTGGAGCTGTCAGGCACTGTGTGACCACTCTGTCCGGATGGCCTCAGGACCCCCTGCTCAACTACTTGAGCATACTTTGCAGGCATCCATGGGCCATCCCACTTTGCAGTGTTCTGTTTTCTGTGTTTGTGGCCTGGCAATATTTGATAAGGCTCTTGGGAGATATTAGCACTTGCTTAACTTGCACTTATTATTTATTTTTTGTGATTTGGAATTTGATATATAAAAGTATGAGGTGTGATTACAAAATACAGTAAATAAAAATTTTATATTAAAGATCCAATGCTACAAATTCTCCTCAAAACCCTGTCTCTCCCTGCAAACACGCTCCGCCCGTCATGCCTGCTACTTCCTGCAGCAGCTCAGGAGTCTTCTTTCCTGAGCGTCCTGGCTGCGCTGTCCTGGCTGCTTTGGTGTCCTGAACTGATTCCGAGTGTTCCCTCCTGCAGCCCTCTTGGGCCCTGGGGAAGTGTGGAGGTCATGTGCTGCCAGACTGGGTGAATAAGGTGGATGAGGGCACAGCGCCATGTGTTAAGCGCCTGCCTTCCTATTGGATGGTGCTTGGAGCAGAACTCACCCTCCTTTCTGATCAGCCCCATGAAGACACTCATGAAAGATGACTTCCAGAGCTGCTTCGGAAGGCAGCAAGAGCTGGGCATGGTGGGATCTACGGCAATCCCGGCCCCTGGGGGCTGTGGCAGCAGGACTGCTGGGAGCTCCAGGCCAGCCTGGCTACATAAATGAGTTCAAGGTCAGCTTGCCCTACACAGTGAGACCCTACATAAAAAAAGCAGTGAGAAGGATGGAATAAATGTACTGGAAGTAGAAGTATTTCCAGAGGAAGCGACGGAGCTGTCCTTCTTTCACTGTGTAAGCTGGTCTCCATGCGGCATTGTGTAGTGCTTAGATGCGCTGTACACACTGTATGATGCTCGGATCAGGGCGCGCATGTCTAGCACCCCAAACACACAGCCCCTCCTGATGGTGAAAACATTCAAAACTCTTTCTGCCAGGTTTGGCAGTGGACCCAGCGCCTCCCACCCACATGGAGCCACCTGTGCACAGCCAACTGGACGCGCTTCTTCTATCTCTTGTTGATCTTTTGCAGGCACCTCGTGGCTAGCAGTCTCCCCTCTTGTCCGCTGGCTTCGCTGGTGCAGGGCTCTCATGAAGACAAGGATGTGAGACTTCTAGAGCCAAGGACCGGACAGGAGGACAGAACTCCAAACCGCAGGATCTCCTCTGTCTGTGAAGGACTGTGTTGGGCAAAGCCTACCCGCCGTGGCTTTCATCCTGTGGAACCAATGCTCCTGTGTGGCCAGAGCGCGAGGTGGAGGCCCCCGTGCTGAGGCCCACCTGAGTGAGCGTGGGGCTTGCAGCATGCACGTCCTTGGTGTCGGCGGCCTTCTCCTCTGCCAGCATCTCAGACCAGAAGCCAGGAGAGGCAGTCCCGCTCTCTCAGAGCCCTCCCCCCAGATACCCAGCAGACA